ACACCCAGGTGCCCTTCCTCCCAACTGCAGGCATCACCCTTTAGGGTGAGAAGCATCTACACCCCTTTTCCATGGAAATTTAATTTTTCCAGCCCAAGATGCTGTAGGAGGAAGTGGTTTTGCCTATGCAAAGTTCCTTGGGGAGCTCAGGTGGAGACCTTTGGGCCATTGCCCTGCCCTGATATCCCCTGGTTGCAGCAAGTGGGGATAAAAAATTTAACCCCCCTTGGCAGTGTTTGCACAGAAGTTGTTCCTGCCCTTGTGCAACCACCCTGGCCACATCTGATGATGTTGAACACAAGAGGTGGCAGGGTGGGGACAAAAGGAGCCACCCAAAATCCTTTGACAACCCCAGTGCCACCTGATGCCAGCACCCAGCTGGGCTTAATTCAAGGTTTTATTCCTCCCTGCCACTGATCATGGACATAAACAGCCTCATCCACAGAACCACCAGTGTCCTTCCAGGATCCTGCTGCCTTCCCCAGAACACAGCAGCCAGGCTGGGCAGCTCCAAGCCTTTCAAGGGCAGGCTCTGGAGCAGCCTTTATTCCCTAAGCCATCCCCCGTGGCTCAGGGAGCACTTTACAGCCAATGTAGCAAACATGGACATTCCCAGGAGCTGGAAAACAGGGATCCCTCCCAGGGCAGGTCCTCAGCTCTCGTGGGATGCTCACCTGGTAGACAGCCTCGTCACAGGCATTCTGCAGCCCCAGGTTAATCATCGTGTTCTGCAGCGTCCGCCCCATGTAGAATTCCAGGGAGAGGTAATAAATCCTCTGGAAGAGAAAAGCACCCCGTGGTCACCGTGCCCAGGGCTGGAGGAGGCTCCTCTGGAGCTATTGTGTGATATCTCAAAAACAAACAGGAAAAAAACCCAGCTTCAACAGAGCAGGGTGGTTTGCAGCAGGAATTCCAGGCTTGTGGCTGCCGGGTGGCCCTGCAGCCCCTGCCCTGCCCTCCTGCTCCTTCCCAAACCGGGAGGAGGCTGTTTCACTTGGACAAGCCCCGTTGCCCTGTCCCAGGGTGGGGACAGCTCCACGATGGTGGCAGCACCAAGTTAAACTTTAAAGAGGAGCCGTTTCCTAATGTCACTCCGGGCTGCAAAGCCACCGGAAAACCGAGCGAGCTGGCGGGGCCAGGCGGTGGCTGTGGGGACATGGGGCTTCCTCTGCTGTCCCCTGGCAGCAGGGGACACTGCCGCTGACACGGCGGGCGCAGGATGCGGCCGGTCCGGCCTTGTGTAAGCCCCGGCGTCAGCACCGGCAGGTTTTAAGGAAGGATTTAGGCAGGGGGAAGTCGCTGACTCCACAGCTTTCCCCAGGACCTGCGCGTGGTCGGGCGGGGAACGGAGGTGGGATAGAATCCTGGAGTCCTAAAATGGTTTGGGTCGGGTCGGGATGGAGCACAAAGATCGCCTCGTTCCAACGCTCCTGTCACGGGCAGGATGTGCCGGGCAGGATCCACTGGGATTTACTGGTTTGACTCCAGCAGAGCCGGGAGCAGAGACCCCAGGCAGCAGCACCCGGCTCCCCTCGGCTGCACGGGAGAGTCCCAGCCCCAAACCCTGCTAGAGCTCCTTCTCCTCAGCCCTACACAACACGGGGGAGCGCTGAGCTATCGCGGCTGGCACGGTCCCAGCGAGGCGCTGGCAGGGAGGAAATTGATGCCGACAGGGACGTCCAGGTGTCAGGAGGGGGATTAGGGCTTAATCCCCCCGCGGCAGAGCCCGGAGCAAGGCAGCGGGACGAGCAGCAGCGCAGCAACTCCTGCACAAACCGGATCTCTCACGCTTGGCATCACTTGTGTTAAACAAGACCTGCTTGGCTTCGGGTGCCTTTAAGCCTTTCCAATAATTCCCCCGGGAAGGCTTTGGAGTTGGTTTTGGTAGACAGCACCCACGCCGGCGCCGCGGGACAACAAACGGCGTTCCCATGCCCTGCACCCCGCTGCCGGCCAAGCCGGGCTCTGTTTGTTTTGCAGAGCAAAGGACAGTGGCCTCGCTTGGTAAAGTCCAGTCCCTCCTCTCGGAAAAGTTACCGGAACAGCCCTAAATCCACGAAAAACCGAGCCCCGCCAATCCCTCTATTCCAGCGCGGAGGGAGGGTTCACATCCACGGGGTTCCCACGCCAGCCACAACCCAGGACCCTCCGAGGGGGATTCCCAGCACCCCGCCCTGCACGGAGGGGCTCCCCCCATATCCCACCGCTCCCACCTTGGGATCCTTCTCGTAGTAGTACTGCTGCGTGCGGATCCAGCGCCCCACCAGGTGATCCCGCACGGTGTGGGCCAGCGCGAAGTAGTAATCGCGTGGGGTGGCCACATTGCGGTCCTTGACCAGGGTGAAGTGCAGGTGCCGGTTGAAGCCCCGCTTCAGCTCGGCCACGCTCTCTGCGCCCACGATCCCGCGGATGCTGATCTGCTTCCGCCGCTCCTGGTCCGACAGCGGCCGCGACATCGCGGCGGGGCTGCGGGGACACGGGGAGGGGGCACACGGACACACGGGCTGGGCTCCGGAGCCGCGTTCCGCCTCCGCCCCGCGCTGGCACCGCCCCGGGAGGGGAATCCCGGGGATGGACGGAGTGGGGTGCAAAGGGGGGAGATCTTAGAGGATGGACAGAGAGGGGTACAAAGGGGGGGAATCCCGGGGATGGACGGACGGGATGGGGACGGGGATGGGGACGGGCCCCGGCAAGGGCCGCCCACGAGTGGGGCGGGAGCGGCGGCCGCCACCGGGGGGGCAAAGGGGGGACCCCGAGGAGGGACAGAAGGGGGTGCAAAGGGGGGGATCCCGGGGATGGACAGAGAGGGTCTTAGAGGATGGACAGAGAGGGGTACAAAGGGGGGGAATCCCGGGGATGGACGGAGTGGGGTGCACAAGGGGGGAATCCCGCGGATGGACAGAGGGAAGCGCAAAGGGGGGACTCCAGGAACGTGGCCTGGGTGTGTCCGGGGACCACCCCTTGGCTGGGTCACTGAGGGGCGTGCAAAGGGGGGACCCCGAGGGTCACAGAGGAGCGTGCCATGGGAGGGGGACCCCGGGTACGGACAGAGGGGGGTGCAAAAGACAGGAAGAACTCGCAGGGGCACAGAGGGGTCCGCAAAGGGAGGGATGCTGGGGGTCTCAGAGGGATGCGCAAAACGGGGCTCGTGGGGGGATGTACAAAGGGGGTGCCGGGGCAGGTGCAGAGGAGGGGGCGGGGGCAGAGCCGGAGCCCCCCGGGCGCACCCGCAGCGGGCGGAGCGGAGCGCTCTCCGGGAGCGGCCACCGCCGCCCAGCGCTTCCCCCGGCCGGGACCGCCCCACGCGTGGCCCCGCCCGCGGGATTGCCTCTCCCGGAGCACGTACGAGGAAGGTGATTCCCGTCGGGCTCGGAGGGAAAACCCGGAAAGGGTCTTGGTGTGTCCCCCCTTGTCGCGATCCATCCTCGTGCCCGTGTCACGGTCCCAGCCCTGTGTCCCAGGTGTCCCACCCCTGTGGTCCTGTCCCCGTGTCACGGCCCCTTCCTGCCCGGCCGTCCCCCGCCCTCCCCCGCAGCATTTCCCGGCCCCCTCCCTTTCCCCCCCGTCTCCTCACTGTTCTCTGCCTGCCCGCAATCCCTCTGGAAATGGCGTGGGATCGTTTTCCCCGCTCCGGGCTCTTCCCGGCTGCCTCCCGCACCGGCTGCCCGAAGGACCCTGCCCTGCCCTGCCTCCGGTTCCTCCCAAGGGCAAAAATATCCGATACGAGCTTCCACGCAACACTTTCTCCTCCCCCTCCTCCTCCAGCCATGGCCCCGAAGGCTTTCCAGGCTGTTTTCCCTGTCCTGGCCTCATCCCCAGCAGGGTGGGCAGCAAGGCAAGGAAATGGGATTGTGCTGCTCTGACCCGCTCAGGTGAGACCCCATCGAGCCCTGGGGTCCAACATCAGGAGGATGTGCAGCTGCTGGAGTGAGTCCAGAGGAGCCACGGAGCTGCTCCAGGGCTGGAGCCAGGCTGGGAGAGCTGGGGGTGCTCCCCTGGAGAGGAGAAGGCTCCAGGGAGAGCTCAGAGCCCCTGGCAGGGCCTGAAGGGGCTCCAGGAGAGCTGGAGAGGGACTTTGGAGGGAGAGCTGGAGTGACAGGATGGGGAAATGGCTTCACAGTGCCAGAGGGCAGGATTAGATTAGATTAGATCCATGCACTGGCTTCCACCCAGAGAGTAAGAGAATCACAGAATCATGGAATGGTTTGGGTTGGAAAAGAGCTTAAAGATCATTTAGTTCCAACCCATGCCATGGGCAGGGACACCTTCCACTAGCCCAGGTTGCTCCAGGCCCTGTCCAGCCTGGCCTTGGACGCTCCCAGGAATGGGGCAGCTACAGGGCAAGCTGTGCCAGAGCCTCACCACCCTCACAAGGAAGACTTTCTTCCCAATACCTCATCTAAATCTCTCCTCTGTCAGTATAAAACCATTTCCCCTTGTCCCACTGCCACAGATGCTCTGGCCCTGGGCTGTTCCCCGTGCTGTACATGACTTACAGGCTGGTTTTACATGCTGCAGGGAAGATGCAGTTTCCTGTACCTCCGGTGTTCTGGGCACATTCCCACTCTGGAAGGAACAAGCATCCTTCTGAGATGCACTTCATACATTAGCATTTTCTTCTTTAGCCCTGGACTGGAGCCCGTGATGAGCTCAGAGGCTGCACATTGAAAACCTCTCCTGAGTCACTCTGGGAAAACAGAGCAGGCACTGATACCCCAGCAGCGAGTCCTTCTCACGGCCCTGGGAGCACTCTCCATGCTGTTCCCTTGGAAATGGCTCTCCCTCCACTGATCCCTTAGAATTTTGCCTCTATTTCATCTCCCTGGGGAGATGATGCTCTGTATCCAGCCTCGGTCAATTTGCTTCCCCATCTCCGGCCAGAGGCTGAGCAGGGACCCGGCAGCTGGGCAGGGACCCGGCAGCTGGGCAGGCCAGCCTTGTCCTGCAGGAGGGAACGGGCTGGCTCCTCTCACCCCGAGAAGAGGCAGCCGGCTCCGCGAGCATCCTCAGGGCATGGCCGAGCGCGAAGCGTAGAACTCGGGCACCGGCAGACCGGTGTGCAGCGTCACCTGCAAGGAGAGACACGGGTCTCAGCTGTGTCCCAGTGTGCCTGCTGGGACAGCTCGTGGCGTGGCAGCTGGCACGTTGTCCCCAGAGAGGGCAGGAGCAGCACTGGGGACAGGCAGGATGTGACTGGAGATGCAGGTGTCCCCAGAAGTGTGGCAGTGGCTCCACCTGGCTTGTTCCTCACTTTTCTGTGCTGCTGGAGTGAGCTGGGACTGCTGGTACCAAGCCCCAGATATTCCCAGCTGGCTGTGTACAAATCCCACAGCTGGCTGCCAGAGAGGTGGGACATGGCAGGAGTTGGGTCTTTGTGCAGGTGAGATGGACAAGAGGGGATGGGGGGCCTGAAGGACAGTGAAGACATTAGAGGAGATCTTGGAGAAGCCCCTGAGCTGAGTGGGGATGGGCACAGAGAGGGGACAGGGACAGTGGAGGGGATGTGGCTGATTGCTGGTGGGAGGAAGGAGCTTTGTGGTGGGGAAGCTGAGCAGCATCAGGATGTTGGGGCAGGGCCATGCTCACACAGGCACTGGTGAAATCCAGTTCCCTCCACAAATGCTTTCATTTGGGAGGAGAGCAAATTCCTCCTTTTACTGCAGTAGCAGCATTTCCCCCTTCAGATATAGATTTGAAGAAAACTGTCTAAAATACAGAGATTTCCCTCCTAATTAGAGTTGTTTTCAATTAGGCACATACCTCTGAAAAAGCATAATAAATGGCTTGGCTTAATTAGCAGCCTTTTATCAGCATCCCAAGGGATTTCTGTGTTGTCAGGGGATTTAGGCTCTGCCTTCAGGGAACTCACAAAGCCACGGGGCTCCAGAGATGCCTTGTCCCTTATGGCTGTGTAGAGGACTGAGGCAGGAGTTAAACCCAGCACACAGCAGGACGTTTTTACCACACCAAATTAACACAGAACCTCTAAACCCAGCATAGACAACACGGGCTTCGTTAGTGTTTCCTAATTAAACATTTCCCAGCCCTTCTCCAAGCCAGACAGATGCCAGTGAGACCCTTGGGGTGGGAAAATTCAGCAAGGATGCTCCCTAAGTTTGGGATGGTCCCAACACACCTTTGTCCCAGTGCTGCTGGAAAATTGTCACTGCCTTGGTGACAGTTTTCCAGCAAGCCCTGGATCCTGATGGACAAGGCACACCATGTCCTAATCCTAATGGATCCCTAATTTACAGAGGCCACTTGGTGCCTCTGCCCTTGCACAGAGGGAATCATAAAATCCTAGAATGGTTTGGGTTGGAAGTGACCTCAAAGCCCATCTCATTCCACCCACCTCCATGGCAGGGACACCTTCCACCATCCCAGGCTGCTCCAAGCCCTGTCCAGCCTGGCCTTGGGCACTGCCAGGGATCCAGGGGCAGCCACAGCTTCTCTGGGCACCCTATGCCAGGGCCTCTCCACCCTCACAGGGAAGAATTTTTTCCCAATATCCCATCTCCTCCTGCCCTTTGGGAAGCCATTCCCACTGCTCCTGTCACTCCACGCTCTGTTTCAAAGTCCCTCTCCAGGTGTGACACCCACTGCAGAAGACCCTGCCAAAATGCTGGGCACCCTGAGATGATCCATCACATGCAACGTGTCCTTGGGTGTGCCTGGGCACTTGTGCAGGGCTGGAGGTGCAGGCAGTGGCAGGAGGGATGTGCCAAAGCCAGAGTGGGGAGGATTCCCTGGGACAGAGCATAGCAGGGATGTGATCAGTGAGAAGAGAAATGAAAGATGGAAATACCAGACTGCCCCAGAGTGTCACGCTTGGGGAGGTTCAGGAGAGCTGAGAGCTTGGGAGAGAGGGAGAGAAGAGGGGTTTGAAATGTCCCAGAGGCAAACAGGCTTTGAAAGGTGCCCTTCTCCCTGCTGATGCTCCCATCCAGGACCTGGGAGAGCTGTAGGAGCTGGTGAGGCTCTTGGGAGGGAGCACCACAAACACAGTTATCAAACCCCAGCCCAAGGAGGGCTGGAGAACCCTGGTGCTTCAGCAGCCCTGAGGGAGGAACCTGGAGCAGGCAGCAAGATTTGGGAGACTCACAGGCGGCTCAGGGTGCAAGTTTAGCTCCTTCCAAGCCACCCTTGCTGCACAAGAACCCTCCTGCTGCTGAGCAGCAACCACTGCAGGGACAGCAGCAGCAGCGGGAGTGTGACAGCAAGGTCACCCCTTCCCACTGCTGGGAATGTCACACCCTGCTCCAGAGAGCCCGACCAACCCCTACCTGCACGTTCCTGTTGAGGCTGACGGCGGGGAAGAAGAGGCCCTCCAGGTTCTCGAAGGCCACAGGCCCTTGCTGGTCCTCGTTGATGGAGAAGGTCAGAGTCCTCCTGGTCAAATCCAGCAGCACTCCCACCGTGGCGCCTTTCGTGATCCCGCCCTCGGTTCTGTAGGAGGAAGAGGCTCAGTGGGCCCTGTGCTCCTGGCTCAGGCCACGGAGCTCAAGGACTGATAATAGTGAACACAGCTCACCCAGGAGCCAGGCCATGACCTGCTCCCATCCCAGCCATGCTCATCATTCCCTGGGAACCTCCTCCTCTGCCCTCCCATGGAGCTGCTCTCCTCTTGCCTTGCTGTCCCCAAGGGAAAGCCACCCTGAGAGCAGCTACAGCCACACAACCATGGGGGAAAGCACGTGGAGCTGTGGAGCAAAGCCACACCAAAACCTGCTGATCCATCAGGGAATGGCCCTCAGGGCTGCAGGAAGGTGACCCCACGCTCTCCCCAGGCAAAGTCCCCAGTCCCACGTGGAACATGAGCAGTGGCACAGGGATCAAGGCAAATGCTGCTGCAGCAGTTGCAAGGATTTGGCTGTTACTGGGAAGGGGATGCCAACAGGAAGAGTCAGCATGGAAAAGTGGTGGCAGGCAGGGAAGGAATACTGGAACAAGGCAGCACCAAGCTGGCAAGGCCTGATCCCCACTGGGTGAAGGGCACATCCTCCAACAGAGACAACCAGGATTGGTGTCACCCTCCCTGGGGACACTTGCAGGTGCCACTCTCAAAGCCACAGGCTCTTTGGGCTGTGGTGTCCGGGGGGAAGCTCCCATCCCTGCCCACCTACCTGTTGGTGTGGGAGTTGTTGTGCATGAACCAGCTGCGGTTGTTGTCCACGTACATGGCCCAGGCCTTGTCGTCCTTGCCCAGCATGGCATCCTTGAGGACGTCGATGCGAGCCACGCCGAAGGCCGGGTCGGGGTGGTTGTCGTAGCGGTCGATCGACAGCTCCCAGTAGTGGAGCCCTTTGGAAAAGCCCGTTTTCCCCAGCACCACCCTGTCATCGTAGCTGTTGCAGGTGACAGTCAGGTTGTCATTGGAAAAGATGATGTCAGCGTGGGCAGAGGAGGGGTCGAAAGAAAACCAAGCAACTGGAACACACAAAGAACGCGGGGTTAGCGCGGTGGGGACGCGCCGGGGCCGCGGGGAGCGACACGGACAGGGCATGCTGCATGCAGGACACCGAGCTTCCACCACGGAGGGACAACTTCCACCACGGAGGGACAACTTCCACCAGGGAGGGACAACTTCCACCACAGAGAGACAACTTCCACCACGGAGGGATGCTCTGAGCTCCTGTGGCTGCAGCTGCCAGTGTGCCTGAGGTTTTATGGCCAGGACTTGAAGGAGTTTCGCTCCTGCTGCTCCATGGTTCCCAATGTCTCAGCTCGTGAGCCTGCAGGATCCTCAAGGCCTCCTAAAATTTGGCCCTCGCAGGAGATGTGATCCTCTCCAGGTCTCCAGGCTCTAACAGAATTATGGAATCGTGGAAGGGTTTGGGTTGGAAGGGATCTTAAAGCCCATCTTGTTCCAACACCTGCCATGGCAGGGACACCTTCCACTATCCCAGGTTGCTCCAAGCCCTGTCCAGCCTGGCCTGGAATGTAACTTACTCTCAGGACCGAGTGTTATTAGTTTGCAGAGTCAGATCAGTGTGGGAAGGGAACTGAGGATCAGCAGATAAACTCTGTGTGCTATTTAAGGGCTGTTTTTGGGAACCAAAAGCACACACAAAGGTCTTCATTTACTGAGTCACACAAAGAAACCTCCCTGCCAAGCAATGAGCCACACCTAAGACAAGAACTCATGGGAAGGCTGGAAAATGCCCCAAAACCTCCAGGATTCCGTAGGGCTGCTGGTTTAAATGCACAGGCCTTGGTTACTGCAAATCTGACAGACACAGTGCCACGTCCTCGACAAGACAGAGGGACAGGGAGTCATTCACAAGCCACCAGCCCGGTTCCCCAGGTGGTTTCCTCCAGCTGAAAATGTGAACTGACACATCCAACAAAACACTCTGGCGGCTTGAAAAATAAAAACACTCGGGTGAGACTGGTTCACTGGTTTATTGGAACGTTTCACAGGACAGCTCCCATGCACGCGGCCGCCCCGCGCTCCCCGCGCCGCGCACGGGGGTGCCGTACCTGCCACCATTTTTTTAATGTCAACTGTGGTCATTCCCAGGGAAAGGCATGCGGGAGAGAAAACAGCACGTCAGGTTGGGTAGGGAAGAGAAGGAGAAACCATTCCTGCTTGTCTGTGACTCCAGCCAGAGCGTGGGTCTGTCGGCATTTTGCATCAAGGTGGGGCGAGAGGCGCGAGGATGGGCTGGGGCTGTGAGAGGGTGCAGGGTGAGGAGGGAATCCCACAGGGCTGCAGGTCCTTCTCCCAGGGGAATGAGCAGGATTGGCCCTGCAGACAGTCTGAAGAGGACAGGCAAGCAGCAGCCACCTTGCTTTAATTAGCTGCAAAGGGGCTAATTGCATCCATGGCATTTGGCCCACGTTCAAGTGCCTTAATGAGCAGGGATGTGTACTGAGAATCATGGAATCATGGAGTGGTTTGGGTTGGAAGGGATTTGCAAATTCATCCTGTTCCACCCACTGCCATGGGTAGGGGCTCCTTCCACTATCCAGGTTTCTCCAAGCTGGCCTTGGGCACTTCCAGGGATCCAGGGACAGCCACAGCTGCTCTGGGCAATCTGTGCCAGGGCCTCCCCACCATCACAGCCAGAATTCCTTCCCAATATCCAACCTAACCCTGCCCTCTTTCAGTTTAAAAGAGGAGAGCAGAAGGATCAGTTCTCAATTACAGGGCCATTTTCAGAGCACTGACCTCAGGCTTCTCTTGGGGGAAAACCAAAATGCCTTTACATCATCCAGCCATCATTACTTCTCCAAATCTGCCTCCTGCCCAGGGCAGTGGTGGAATTCCCATTCTTGGAGGGATTTAAAAGCCCTGTGGATGTGGCACTTGGGGACATGGGTCAGTGGTGGCCTTGGCAGTGCTGGGGAAGAGTTAGACTCAGTCTTAGAGGGCTTTTCCAACCTCCACAATTCCATGATTCTGTCACATCCAGGAGTGCTCTGCAAGCAGGGTGCGAGTGAGAAACGCTGCTCAGTCGCCAAAGAAAAGATAAAAAAGCAAAAAGAATGAAGCAACACGCAGTAGGTGCCAGTTAATTGTAATTAAGATACTTGCCTAATTGGGAGTAAGGCGATCCTTGTGTGTCAAAATTGCATCCTATAAAGAGATACTACATTTCACACATCACAGCTAAGGAACAACAACTTCCTGACAAACACTTGTGAGCATTTCATTATTAATTAAGCATCCAGCAGCCACGGGAAGCCTGATTCATTAAAAGCCAGAGGGCACGGAGAGGGGTGTCAAACACAGCCTGGGAGTTTGAGTGTGGACTGTATAAAGTCTGGCTGCTCAGGACACCAAATTATTCTGCTTTTCTCCAGAAAAGAGGCAGGAAATTTTAGCCTTGGTGGAGTATCTTGGCTGTTTGGTAAAGATTCTCTAAACTGACTGAAAAACCACTCCTTGAAGGACAGGAATTGAGGAAAAGGCAGCTCCTGATGGGTCTGGGTTGGAATGGAGCTGGATTGGGGATCCCTGGAGGCTGACACCTGCCTCAGACCCCAAAGGGCTGTAGCTTCATCAGCTCCAAGGGCAGGATGGGTCAGGGTGCCCTTCATGCTCCTGTGCCTGCAAGCACCATGCTCCTTGCTGGCTGCAAGCACCTCATGGGAGCCAGGGACTGATCCAGGAGCTTGTCCTGACTTAGGGGCTTGTCCTAATCCAGGAGCTTGTCCTGATCCAGGAACTTATTCTGATTCAGGAGCTCGTCCTGATCCAGGAGCTTGTTCTGAGCTAGGGGCTTGTCCTGATCCAGGAGCTTGTCCTGATCCAGGAACTTATTCTGATTCAGGAGCTCATCCTGACCTAGGGGCATGTCTTGATGCAGGAATTTTTCCTGATCCAGGAGCTTGTCCTGATCCAGGAACTTATTCTGATTCAGGAGCTCGTCCTGACCTAGGGGCCTGATTGATTCAGGAGTTTTTCCTGATCCAGGAGCTTGTTCTGGTCCAGTTTTTTTCTTACCTAGAAGCTTGTTCTAATCCAGGAGCTTGCCCTGATCCAGGAGCTTGTTCTGACCTAGGGGCTTGTCCTGATCCAGGAGTTTGTCCTGATACAGGAACTCATTCTGATCCAGGAGCTTGTTCTGACCTAGGGGCTTGTCCTGTTCCAGGAGTTTTTCCTGACCTAGGGGCTTGTCCTCACCAGGAGGAGACACCAACACAAGCTGTTGCTGGCATTGTGTGTGACAGCACTCACGAAGGGCGCTGGATTTTAGGGTACCCCTGCCCAGCTCTGTGCCTGGTTTCCCCTCCTGCCCTGGGTGTTGGTGGAAAGCTCCTGGCTGTGGTTGTGCCCCGTGCTGTGCCAAGAGGCTCCTCCTGAGGCTGCTTTAATGAATCCTGCCCCGTGTCCCGACTCCAACACCGCTTCTCCAGGTCTCCGCGCATCGCTGTGCTCCAAGCTCTCGTGAGGGACACACAGACCCTGTTTTGGCATTCAGGACCCCATTTTTCCCTGTCCCCCCTCCCCGGAGTGGGGCTGCAGAAGGTCCGAGGTGCACACACGGGTATCGCTCACGGGCAGCACGGAAGGGTCCCGGAACACCGGACACAAAGAAAGGAACGTCCGTAACAAAACAGCGTTGGAAGCCATCAGCTCACAGCAGCACGATGAGAAATCAAACATAAAAAGCACAAAGAAAAGAAAGTTTGCAGGGTCCCCCCCTGGTTATTCTGGCAAGGGTCATGCTGCAGCATTCCTCATTCCGTGTTATGGGATGGAAGTCAAACAATCGGGGGCCCCCATTCTTCCAGGGCTTACGCCGGAGCAAGCCGGGAATGAACGCCTTTGGAGTGGTGGAAATCCAGAGTGGTGGAAGAATCAGGGCCCAGGATCTTTAGCAACAGAAGATGTGCAAAGATTGGTTAGAAAACAGCTCTGAGAGATCCCTGTGCCTGTGGCTCCTTGCTGGCTGCCCAAATCCATCCCTCACTCTGCCTGACCTGCCTCCATCCCAGCACAGCCCGCGATTCCGGGCGCGCGGATCCGAACCGAGCGCTCGTGTGGGGCTGCCAGGCCAGCGAGGCATCACAGGGGTGGTGTCCTCTGTTTGCTCTGCAGCACACAGGGCTTTGGGATGGTCACATCTGGGTTTGGAAAAGCCGAGCCCGGTGCTCAAAGCTGAGCAGAAAAGAGCCCACGGCTCCAGGCCCTAAGTCGGGCTGTGAGCTGGAATCACAGAATCCCAAACTGGTTTGGGTTGGAGGGGACACAAATCACCTCATTCCACACCCCTGCCACGGGCAGGGACACCTTCCACTATCCCAGGCTGCTCCAACCTGGCCTGGGACAGACACTTCCAGGGATGGGGAGTCCTCTGAGCAACAAGCCAGAGCCTGCATCCAGACTTGCTTCTTTCTTAAGAGGGGTCTAGATTTAATCAACCAAACTGATTTCACAGAGCAAATCTCCCAGCAGAGGCTGCATTTCCTGGCTGTGTTCAGAAAGGAAAGCATGGGGTTATTCCCACAGGTTTCACCCAGGGAATGTCTTTTCTGATTAACCCTTGACACAAGCTCAACACAAAGCAGAAATGAGGAATCTTCTAGAGGAAGGTGTCCCTGCCCATACCAGGAGGTTGGAAGTGGATGAGCTTTAAGGTCCCTTCTAACCCAAACCATTCAGGGATTTATGATCACCAAAGGGTTCAGCCTTGCCAAGAGCAGCACCCAGGTAAGGAATTACTGTGCTGCTCCATCAGCCCACACCTGAAACACCCCGGGAGAACCACGCCACTGACCCCCCTGGGCGGCAGGAGCAGGCCACTGACAAACAGAAAGAATTCCCGCTGCCATCCGCATGTCATGGGAAAAACAAACACAACGGAACAGAACGAACAGAGAGTTTGGAGATGCCCAGAAGCACAGACCAAGAGGCAACGCCAGAGGTGCTCAGCTCACCGGCTGAATTCAGGGACTGTAAGGAAGAATGCAAGCTCAGCTGGTGGGCCGAAGATCTTAGCTCAAAGTAGGATCTCCCCGAGAAGCTGGGTTGCAGATTAAGGGTGGAGGAGAAAGGACTCATTCTACGAAGCTGCGATCTTTCCAAAGGCACTGGAAAAGGGAGGGTCTGCTCTTCTGACTGCGTGTCTAAACGTAAGATGAAGGCAAACTGCAGATCAGAAATGGGCTCTCTGCTGGGCGGCCTCGCTCCCCAGCCCCAGCTCGGAGCGGAGCACGGACCCTGCTCCGTGGCAGGGCAGCACTGGCTGGTGCTGGGCAGCCCCCAGAGACCCTTCAGGGCAGCCTGACAGCAAGGAAAACACCTTCATCTTCCCAAGTGTCCCCGTGTCAGCGTGACAAATTCAACTGGTTTTCTGTAAAGGGGGGGGGGTCCTGTACCTCTTCACAGAAAGGCACCTAAAAAAGTTCACAGGTTACCATGCACACGTCCCATCGTGCTTTAACACATCCCAAACCTTTTTGTGCACAATAATCAGGGGTGGAGAACCCAGCTGGTGACATTTTGCAGGGCTGTGCTAAGCCCTCTCACCCTAAGAACCACCAAGCACCCACCTTACTCAAGGGTTGTTCGGGAGGTTGTGTTCTTGGTATCCCTTTGTACCTGTCAAAACACATCTGAGCCTTACAGCAAGAATTGAACTCGTGGGATTCACAGCAAAAATGTCAGAGCAGAAGGAACCTCTTGGGTCATTGGTTTCTGTTCCCTGCTACCACAGTCACCTCCCACAGTTTCTTCCCTAACCTTTTCCAGGATTATGTTCACATCAAAATGTAGAATCAACCATCCACACACTCACACTGCATCCCCCAGCCTTCCCAGCTCTGCTGTGAGTATGGATTGAGCTGGGAATTGTGTTAAAACAGGTAAAAAGGGAACATTTCTTTGCATGGTGGGTTGTAACTTCTGCAACTCGCCGCTGCTGTGGCCGAGGCTGTGGAAGCAAAGGGTGTCAGTGGGGTCAGAGGAGAGAAATTATTGCACAACAGCCAATAAACAGAGCTCAAAGTTTGTTTATTAGTTTAGCTTCTAACCCTACCAATAGTGAGAGGAACTACTGCCACGAGTAGCTGTGCTCATGGCTCTCCCTAATTAGCCCCTCACATCCCTGGAGCTCCCTGCAGGCTGATCCTCCCGGGGCTGCTCACCCTTTCCAAAAGCTGCTGGTTAAAAAGCCCTGGTTGCTGCTCAGGGTCACTCCAGGGATGGTCAGGAATTTAAAGCTCCAGATGAGGAGCTGGGCTTGAAAGAAAAGGTTCTGGTGCTTGGTTTGGCTGGGGGAAGGGAGGAGGAAGCTCTGTGCCTGGGGAGAAGCCTGGGAGGCACTGCTGAGCTCCATTTCTCCAGCTCCACCTGGAGTGAGTTGGTCCTTCATCCTGACACCCAGAGCATGGAAAGAGGTCAGCAGGAGTCTGGCCAGAGGCCAGGAAATCTGCTGGATGAGGGAAAACCAGGAGAGCAGGGGCTGCCCAGCTCAGGGAGGAGGAGGAGGCTGGGAGAGACCCCAGGGCAGCCAAGCAGGGCTGCCACCAGCCAAGCTCTGGGACATGTCTGTGCCTGGGTCACCTTGGAAACTTTCTTCCAGACTCCCCAGCCCACAGCTGAGCTTCATTCAGCAGCTGGAGAAACAGAGGTTAAGGCAGAGCCTGGGAGCCTTGGGCTGAGATGTGACAGAGCAAGAAACACTCCCAGGGATTGTGTGGAACAGCCCCAGATCAGCTCAGGAGGGGACACAGTTCAAGGGAAGGATGTCACCTTCAACCCTTGCTGCCCCTTGGCTGTGCTGGTGACAGGGATCTTCATCCCTGGGAAGGCTCTGGAGCACAAACCTTCTCCCAGCCAGGAACCACCTTGTCCTGCTGGTGGCACCAAGAACCAGCTCTGAAGAGTGACCTGCAATCCTTTCCTCTGGGATGAGCACAAGGTGCCTCTCCCATGGGCTGGGAAGATGTTCCTGCTGCAGACTCCTGCCTGTGCTGCCTTCCCATGGGATTTTCCACCTGGCTGCCTGTGCCTGTTTGGCACCACAGAGGCAGCACCTGCAGAGCCCCACACACATCCCCTTCTTCTCATCCTTGTTCTCTTCAGATGCTGTCCCCTGCAAGACCTTTTGCTCCCCACTAACCTCTGCTCACAGAAAGCAGAAGAAAGGCTTCAGTTCCCTTCCACAGGCTGCAGATGAAGATCTCATGGGCCAGAGCTACAAACCAGCTCCTAAATACCAGAATTCCTCACAACCACTTACAGCAGGACAGCCACGTTCGGAGAGACGCTCTCTTCACATCGAGCCCGTCCTTTCTTTTGTCCTCTCTTCCCACACAACCACTTTGCAGGAAGCTGCAGAGCTTGGCTGAAGGGAAAAGCTAAACCCACTTCAGACAAAATAGCTCTTAAGAAAGCCTGATGCTGCTGTAAAAGCCAGGAATAAAAGCCTAAGCAAGGGCTGTGATGTGCTCCATTCACTGAGTCACTGGGATATCCGGAAGCTGCACACACAGATGTGATTTATTTCTCTTTGAATCCAAAAGAGCTCAGGCAGCCTCTAAGAGCACAAAATGCTCCAGGCCCGTTTGACTTTTTCTCCCTGTTTTTCTGTGCTGGAATAACAAATGCAAGAGCTCATTCAAGTGAAAAGGCTGAATGAATGCAGCCAAGGAGAGTGGAACTTCTCCTTGGTGGCACGGCCCAAGCACAGCCCTGCTGGGACCACAAGCAGCTATTTTCTCCCAGATTCCTTTGTATTTTGGAGCTGGGCTCAAGGTGAGAACACCTCTGAGAGGAAATCAAAGCTGGGAAGATCATAGAGGGCACCCTGTGAACTCCTAGCTGGAACAACTTAAAGCCCAACTGGTTTTGATGAGGAAATTGTGTCTCAAATGTGTCGTGTGAGGCACGAATGAGATGAGAAGTCAGAGCTCTGCTGTCTCCTGCTAAGGCTGGAGTGGGAGCTGTTGACCTTCAGGCTTTGGGAGCAATCCTGGCCAACCTGGCACGGGGCTAGATGCAGCTTGTCCCCTGCCTGGATCTCCAGAGGAACTTCTGCAGCTTCTTTGCTGCTGGTGCTCTGTTTGCAAACAGGCACTGAGGTGCCTCTGACAGACATGTCAAGGCCTCTGTGCTGTGCTGTGACCTCCCTGCCTCTCCTGTGAGAAGTTTGTCACAGTTTTGCTGTCTGCTCTAGCTCTGAATGAATCCCATTCCTTGCTGACCTGCCCTTTCTAAACTGGAATGGTGATCTGCAGGCAGCAAGGGAGACTAGCTCAGTTTCTCTAAGAGAAACAAGCTTGCTCTGCTTTTGTTTTCTATTTCTTCAGCAAAAATCCCATTTTTCTCCTTGCTGAAAGCCCCCAGGGCTGCTCAGTGGCTCTCCCCTTCCTTCCACCCCACCAGGAGCCCCAGGAGCTGTGTGTGCTCCCTTCTGATCCCAGCTGCCAGCCAGCTGGATGCTGCTGTGAAAAAACCCTCACACGGCTTGGAAAAGAGAGATTTTCATCTGGGAGCAAGGAAAAGGGATTCCAGCAAGCGTGGGAAGCTCCCAGAGAAGGGTTTTGTGCCTGGCTGTGGGGCAGCAGACGTGCTGGTGGGGGCTGATCCCTTCCCCCACAGCTCCCGACTCCCACCTCGGAGCCAGCCTTGCCACTCTCCACCTGCACGTCAGGAATAAACCCATTTTCCACAATGGATTAAGTGCCTGGCGTGACAAATGTACTTAAAGCCAGGCAGGGAGATCCCCCTGCAGCCTGCAAGGGGGTGTTTTAATATTCTGAGTGGGTGATGCAGATGATGCTGTGGGGCTCCTGTGCATCCCTGGCTCTGGAAGGACACCCACACTGCTCCATGTCCCCCCTGCTCCCTGCCCTGCCCTGAATCCTGTGCTTATGGCACTGTGCAGTCAAGCACAGCCCTCAGGAGAAATGCTGGCAGTGTTTTGCTTTAAATGGGCCCAATGGAAACATCTGAGCTTCCCTTTTGTGTCACATCACCCCAAAGTTAAACACCTCTCTTCCCAGAGAGAAGCAGGCACAACTTCCCAAGGACTCGTCCTGGGAAACACAGCAAGAAACCTCAGAGAAGAAGAGGAAACAATTCTTATCTCTATTCACTGCTCCTGTTGTTTTTGCACATGTGGAATGTGTTAGGAAGATTGTTTACCTGAAGGGGTTTGGTAATTGGATGCTGGTGATGGTTGTTTATATTAATTAACCAATCACTCCTGGCTGGCTCATGGGTTTTTTCTTTAGTATAGTATTAATGTAATATACTATAGCTTAATAAAGCAATTGTTCAGCATTCTGAATCATGGAGTCAGATCCCAGTCTTTCCCAGAGTTGGGGTCTCCCTGCACTCTCCAGACAACACCCCCTGCACAGGAAAAGCCTCAGAGGGAACTCCTGGCTGTGCTGGAGGCTCCTAACACAGCTTTCCCCCTCTGCTGCTGCAGGGGAGGCTCAGGGGGGGCAGGGGGAGCTGAGCAGGGCTGTCCTGGGCTGTGTCCATGCCATTCCTTACCCTCGGAGGTCTGCAGCACCAGGGTCTTGCTGTAGGGGCTCACTCCTGACTTGTTGAAGGCCTTGACTCGGGCGCTGTAGGTGCTGTTGAAGTGCAGCCCATCCACTGTGCACATGGTCTCCTTGCCCACATACACCTCCTGCAAGGCAAGGAACAGCTCCTGTCGGTGCCAGGGCTGGGGAACAGCCTGGCACACCTTGGGGGGCACGGGATCCCCCCTGCCCTGCTCCCTGGGGAGGGTTAAGGCTGAGCAAAATGGGGTTTGTTCCCTGGCTGCAGCAGGGCAGGAGGTGAGGGGGGTTCTGCCCCTCTGCTCTGCTCAGCTGGGATCCCACGTGGAGTTCTGTCCCCAAACCAGGGGTCCATCATCAGGATGCTGGTGATGGTTGTTTATATTAATTAACCAATCACTCCTGGCTGGCTCATGGGTTTTTTCTTTAGTATAGTATTAATGTAATATACTATAGCTTAATAAAGCAATTGTTCAGCATTCTGAATCATGGAGTCAGATCCCAGTCTTTCCCAGAGTTGGGGTCTCCCTGCACTCTCCAGACAACACCCCCTGCACAGGAAAAGCCTCAGAGGGAACTCCTGGCTGTGCTGGAGGCTCCTAACACAGCTTTCCCCCTCTGCTGCTGCAGGGGAGGCTCAGGGAGGGCAGGGGGAGCTGAGCAGGGCTGTCCTGGGCTGTGTCCATGCCATTCCTTACCCTCGGAGGTCTGCAGCACCAGGGTCTTGCTGTAGGGGCTCACTCCTGACTTGTTGAAGGCCTTGACCCGGGCGCTGTAGGTGCTGTTGAAGTGCAGCCCATCCACTGTGCACATGGTCTCCTTGCCCACATACACCTCCTGCAAGGCAAGGAACAGCTCCTGTCGGTGCCAGGGCTGGGGAACAGCCTGGCACACCTTGGGGGGCACGGGATCCCCCCTGCCCTGCTCCCTGGGGAGGGTTAAGGCTGAGCAAAATGGGGTTTGTTCCCTGGCTGCAGCAGGGCAGGAGGTGAGGGGGGTTCTGCCCCTCTGCTCTGCTCAGCTGGGATCCCACGTGGAGTTCTGTCCCCAAACCAGGGGTCCATCATCAGGAGGAGCTGCTGGAGGGAGTCCAGAGGAGGCCATGGAGCTGCTCCAAGGGCTGGAGCCAGGCTGGGAGAGCTGGGAATGTTCCCCTGGAGAGGAGAAGGCTCCAGGGAGAGCTCAGAGCCCCTGGCAGGGCCTGAAGGGGCTCCAGGAGAGCTGGAGAGGGACTGGGGACAAGGCATGGAGGGACAGGACCCAGGGAATGGCTCCCACTGCCAGAGGGCAGGGATGGGTGGGAGACTGGGGATGAATATTCTCAGCAGCAAGCACTGACTGTGTTCTCCCCACACCCAGCCTGCTGCTGCTCCTCTCCAGGTCCCACCCATGTCACCTCTCCTTTGCCTCAACTCTGCTCTGGCAGTGCCTGAGCTCACTGTGGATGAATTCAGAGTGCAGTGGGCTGCTCCTGTGCCTGCTCTCCGTGGATGTGAACACGCCAGGATAATTACTGGCGTGTTGGATCAGAGAAAAAGCATATTTTAATTGTGTAATTACAGCAATTTAAAAGCCCTCAGGCCTTAAACACCTCTGCTTGCTGGCAAACCATAAGGCTTTCATGGCAATTAACATATCTTGCATGAAATATTCAGCAACCTAAAAATATGGACCTCTGCAGCACCAGGGTCTTGCTGTAGGGGCTCACTCCTGACTTGTTGAAGGCCTTGACTCGGGCGCTGTAGGTGCTGTTGAAGTGCAGCCCATCCACTGTGCACATGGTCTCCTTGCCCACATACACCTCCTGCAAGGCAAGGAACAGCTCCTGTCGGTGCCAGGGCTGGGGAACAGCCTGGCACACCTTGGGGGGCACGGGATCCCCCCTGCCCTGCTCCCTGGGGAGGGCTAAGGCTGAGCAAAATGGGGTTTGGTCCCTGGCTGCAGCAGCACATGGAATGGTTTGGGTTGGAAGGGACCTTAAAAACCATCCAGTTCCACCTCTTGCCATGGGAGGGACACCTCCCACCATCCCAGGCTGCTCCAAGCCCTGTCCAGCCTGGCCTTGAACACTTCTCCAGGGATCCAGGGGCAGCCACAGCTCCTCTGGGTAACAGGAGCTTCAAAGTTGTTCTTTGAGTTTCCAAGTCAATGTGGCCACTGGAAAGGCATTTGCACCCCCTCAAATCCCCCTGTACCCCAAAACCCCACAGCTTGTCTGCACCATCTTCTTCCCTGGGCAACCCAGAGGGGACTTGAGAAAAAATATAAAAAATAAAAAGAAAGAGAGGACAAATCCTGTGGCAGGGAATCCCTGGAGGCAGAACATCCCCTCTCAAGCACGTACCCTGAACTGGCCGCCGTTGCCATCGTCCAGCTCCAGGATGTATCCCTCCACCTGCACCGTGGACAGAGGGGGCTGCTTCCAGGACAGCGTGGCGCTGTTGTTGTGGGTGCAGCACTCCTCCAGCTGCAGGATCGGCGGGGCCGGCACTGGGGACGAGACTAATCACCAATTAGTGCAATTAGTGCAACCCTGCGGGATGCAGCCTGCGCTTACAGCCTGGCTGGGAGGCAGCTCCAGGGGCAGCAGAAAGGATTTTTCTCCCGCCAAGCTCCACTAAATTCCTCCCCTCCCACCAGCCTGGTGAAGCTTTTCTGCTTTATTCCCATTTTCTAATTAATTTTGGAGAATTATGGCAGCACAATGTGCTGGTTTTGAGCTGCCTGGACCTTCCATGCAGCCAGTCCCAAACCTGGGACAATTCTCCCACAGCTTCTGCAGAACTCTGGGTCTGGACTTATCTACAGCCTTGCTTTTCCCTTCAATAAATCCACTGCAACAAAACTGGGGGGCTGAGTACCCCCTCTGGCTGCCATCAGCTGCACAGGGGACAGAAAGGACTGCTAGGGTTTTCCTGCTGTGTTTGGGCATCTCCACATGTGTCCCACAGCCCGCTCCTGCTCTGAAAAGCTTGGGAAGAGTGACAGGGAGATGTCCCCTGACACATCTCTCAAAGAGCTGCTCGTCCACCATCCTCATCCTCACTGCCCAAAGTGACAAGAGCCAGTGGAAACAGACATGGAGAAGTCAGATAAGTTGGGAAGGAGCCATGGATGCCTGGGAAAAAAGCTGGATTTGCCCAGAATTCACCTTCTGTGACTGCTCCACCTCCTGGGCTGGATCCTCCAGGCTGGCACTGGGTGTGGGCTGCCTTGGGGTTGCTCACTGCTCTTTATCGAGGCCTCAGGTGTTGCCCTCCCTCCCCTGGTGCTGTGACACAGATTTGGGATGCAAACCCAACCTTCTGCAAGTCTGCAAAACCAACAACTGACTTCCACAGCCAGGGTGAGCTGGGAGGAGGGATTTCATAAGAGGAGGGTGGGCGGCTGCACCAGCAGCAGATTTGCTCTTATTAATTAAAAATAACCCTCTGGACTAGACTGCAGGAAGGGAGGGCAGGAACACAGGAATGTGAAACAGCAATCCAGCCCTGCCTGGGTCTGCTATCCAAAAATATTCCTGACATTTCAGATGAACAGCCTGGCTAAGGAAGAGCGAGCACGGGCAGCTCCTCACTGCCAGCAGCACCCTCAGCTAGGGATGCTCCCTGTGGTCACACAGAAGAGTGTGGCCAACATCCTTCCTGTCCCTGGCCACTGGGACACCCTGGTGAGTGCAGACAGCTCCTGGGCCTGGAATTCCAGCCGTGGTGGGGATGAAGAGCAGTGCCAGACCTGCAGCTGGTGGCTGTTCCCCCGGGCAGCTGAAGGTGCAGCCCAGGTTCAGGGTCCTCCTGTCCTGAGCCTCCCTGTGTCACAGCCCCTCTGCATCTCTGTCAGCTTCCCTGGGCTTGCCAAACCCCAAATTCCTCATGGGCAGCAGCAGCCCTTGCTGGGACAGCAGAAGGAGCACAGAGGGAAGGGGGAACAGCAAGGAAATAGAGAAAAATAGAACTAGAATGGATTGGAATGGAGTGGAATGGAATGGGATGGAAAGCCAAAATGATGATCTAAACCAACAGGGAGGTGAGGAGAGGGAGGGCAGAGCCCAGGCCAGGTGACCTGGCTCTGTTTGCAGGGACATCTGCTCTGTGACAGATGCTGCTCAGCACTGAGCGAGCACGGGGATGTGAGGAGAGGTTGGGAAAAGCCTTGTGCTGCTCTCAAAAGAGAGGTCCCAGCCTGCAGAGCACTTTTCAGTGCACCAACAACTTTGTCAGAGCACTTTTTAATGCACTGGTAAATTTTTTATGCAGTAGGAGTGCTTTTCCAGGCAAAGCCAAGCCCCTGGCACCCTGCCCTGGCACACAGATGCCCAGGGATCCAAGGCAGGGAGGCAGATGGTTGGCCCAGGGATGCAAAACACAGGAATGGGCATAACTCTGGGTCTGGGGTGCCCAGTCTTTCTGGGAGGTTGTTGGATTATGCCCTTTTCTGACCCAGAGATGGAGTAACTGAGAGGTATTTTAAAACTTTTATTCCACTTTCAGTCTCATGTGAAGGGTGAAACAATATAGATGTTATAATTCACACCATCACAATCAGAAGCCAACTATTTCCTAATTACAATACATTTTAAGTGTTTCTTTAAGGCTGTAAATGCCTTAAAGAAACACTTAAAAACACTGTAAAATCTTTAAGGCTGTAAATGCCTTAAAGCCAATCATCTAAAATTACCCCTCGTGGGTCCTACTACAATGCATCTTTCATCATTCTATTTCTCCAAAGTTTTTTGTTTTATTTGCAAAGCCATCCTTTGAAACTTGTTTTCAGTTCTATTTTTCTCTTAATAATTTGTTTATCTTACTCTACAGCATTTCTAAGTCAGCACTTCTTATCTCAACGTTTCCATACAGAAGCACTCTGCATCAGCCTTCTGTTGTAATTACAATACATTTTAAGTGTTTCTTTAAGGCTGTAAATGCCTTAAAGAAGCACTTAAAAACACTGTAAAATCTTTAAGGCTGTAAATGCCTTAAAGCCAATCATCTAAAATTACCCCTCGTGGGTCCTACTACAATGCATCTTTCATCATTCTATTTCTCCAAAGTTTTTTGTTTTATTTGCAAAGCCATCCTTTGAAACTTGTTTTCAGTTCTATTTTTCTCTTAATAATTTGTTTATCTTACTCTACAGCATTTCTAAGTCAGCACTTCTTATCTCAACGTTTCCATACAGAAGCACTCTGCATCAGCCTTCTGTTGAGCTTTGAGAATTCTCTACAAATTCATTTCTCACAGGAGGTGAGAAACTCTCCTTTTCTGGCCTTCCCCTGGGATGAGCTGCCTGGCAGCTCCAGCAGGAGCAGAGCTGAGCTTTGGGAAGTGTCCTGGATTGCCAAACAAATCCACAATTCCAATGGGACTGCTACAACACCCTGACCTACAGGGTGCCAGGTTGTGTTCTGACTCTGTCAGTGTCGTTTTGGTTAACTGCATTGTTTATTTTATCTTTTTATTTTCTTCCCTAGTAAAGAACTGTTATTCCTGCTCTCATATTTTTGCCTGAGAGACCCTTAATTTCAAAATTACAACAATTCGGAGGGAGGGGGTTTACATTTTCCATTTCAGGGGAGGCTCCTCCTTTCCTTAGCAGACACCTGGCTTTCCAAAGCAAGAGAGGAAGGCACTGGAAAGATCCTTACCTTTCATCTGCACGAAGTCCAGCTGGTGGATGGACTGTAGCAGAGGGGCATTGTCCAGGTTCAGGTCGAAGTCCGTGGTCATGCGGGGCGTGAGCGTCCCCTTCCCCCACTGATCCTCGGTCATGTGCACCCTCCTGATGAGAGCATCTGAGATCTGCAGGGCAGGAGCAGCCTCAGCTGCTGTGGCAATGTCCCATGCCTTGTCCCCAGCCTGCTCTCCCTGTCCCTCTGCCTGCCAGGCTGAAGGCTGGGATGTCACACGTGGTTTCCAGCATCACTCCTCCCTGCAGGCTGGGCTGGAGGAGGGAACCCTGGAGGGCTGGGTGCTGTTTAATGGCAGGGTTTAGTGCCAAAGTGCTGGAAAACCCCAGCTTCACAGAGATGGGCCAGCTGGGAGGTGTTTTACAAGATTTTATTCCATTGCCAGTCTCGTAGAAGGGTGAGACACAAGAGATGTAAAACTCAGTGCCATTGTACCAGAAGCCAACCTATTACCTTATAAATGTTTTAAAGCCTATTAGCTTTTACCACACAATGCTGCTAATACTTCACTCCAGTACTTCACCTAATTATTTTTCCCCACTATGCATCTTTGAGTTCTAATTCTCCAAAATATCTGATCTTTTTGCAAGGCTGTAGTTTGAAACTTGTCTCTAGTTCAGTCTCTCTCTCTGCAATGTCATCTCCATTCCATGGCCTTCCTAAGTCAGCACACCTTATCTCAGAGAGATCTTTGCATACATGTGTACAAGGCTGTGTGAGCTTTCAGTCAGGCTTGGAGAATCCTTTACAATTCCATTTCTCACACCAAAGAGAGCCCAGGAATGCCTGGTCTGTTGGTGTCTCAGTGGAGAGCCACGAGCACAGTGTGATTCCTGCTCCAGAGATGCACCCTCCTCTCCCTGCTGCATCCCTCTCCTCCAGAAATGTCCCTGCTCCAGAGATGCACCCTCCTCTTCCTGCTGCATCCCTCTCCTCCAGAAATGTCCCTGCCCTGACCCTGCTCCTGCCCTGCTGTGAACATGGAGGTGACCAGAGGCAGGTCCTTGATTTTATGGGGCCGTCCCCCCTGGAGCAGCCCCAGCCCTGCGGCATCCCCCAGGCCCCAGACTGACCTGCAGGAAGCCGCTGGGGTCGTTCTCCTTGATGACCTCCAGGCAATATTCCATCAGCCCCGTGGTCTGGCGCAGCTTCACCGTGCAGTGCGAGATCTGGTCCCGCACCACCTGCAGGGGACAAGGACAGCAGGGTCACACGGAGAGGCAGGAATGCCCAAGACTCACACACTGAGCTCCAGACCTTTCAGAAGCCGGGGAACTCTCGGGTTTCAGTGGTTGTGATGACCCCTGAGGTGTAAGAAATTCTCTTTTCCCAGCCCCGTGACCAAAGAAGAAGTCAAGATTTGTCGGTTCTGCTTTTCAAGGTTTTTTTTCCTTATCCATTCCATTCTTTCTCTGACCTGCTGAGACCTGTCCTGCAGGTCTGGCTGTGGCACACTGCCTGCCCTTGGGGTGCTGTTAACTTTTTATACCAAGAACCTTTATTTACAATAATTTTCCAATTCCTGTCACCTCTGTTAGACAGTCTGTCTCCACTCTGAGCCAACCCAGAAGTGTCACCATCCCAGCAGTGCCAAGGTCTCTGAGCCCCTTGCCAGGAACTCAAATCACTCAGGGCATCCAGAGGAATGTCCTGGGTCCTGACAGGGAACAACAATGCAGAATCCCAGAAAGTTTTTAAGGTTTCTTCCAACCCAAATGAATCTTGTTCTACCCCCTGCCACGGCAGGGACACCTTGCACATCCCAGGCTGCTCCAAGCCCTGTCCAGCCTGGCCTTGGACACTTCCAGGGATGGGGAATCCACAATCTCTCTGGACAACCTGTTCTAACAAGCTTTGTTCAGCCCAAAATCATTAACAAACATAATTACCCAAAGCAGGAGCTCCATGCCCTGCCTTTAATGAAGCTTCCAAATGGCAGCTCCTGAGCTCCATGCCAAGCAAATGCCAACTTCCATGGATCCACAGCTGCCCTTGGCATGAGGATGAGGAGTGACTCTGGCAGCTGCTCCTTGCCAGAGGAATGGACACCACCTCTCCCAGCCCCATCCCTGAGGATCTGCTGGAGATGCTCAGCAGCTGCAGAATTCCCTCGTTGTCTCCTCAGGCTGGGGATGAGCTCTGAGGGAGGGAAGCTCCAGGGAGAGGAGATAAATAAATAAATCAATCCAAGCTCAGCCTGGGGCTGCCCAGCTCCACATTAAGGCACCTCCTGCACTCACAGCTCCTTCCCCAAGGGATCACATTCCAGCATCCCAGCAGAGCAGCACCAGAGTGAGGTCTGCAGGTGCCTGAGGGCTCTGCTGACCTTCCCTGAAGCACAGCAAGGAGGAGAGGGTCCAGGCTGGATGCCACAAGGATTTATTTGAAGCTGGCTGCTCTTTCACACTGAATCCTGCAGGCCCAGGATTCCACTGGCAGAGCAGCTCAGGAAGAGAGATTTTTTTTCTTGGCCAAATGCGGTCAAACACTCATAGAAGATTTTTTATCTTCTACTCCTGGAAGAGCTTTAAAAAGCTGTGTACAGCTCTCCAGTGGCACTGAACAAAGCTGTGCAGCTCCGTGGAGTGTCACAGCGAGGATGAGCTTGGCAGCTGCAGCCAGACGGGGAAAGCTGCAATAAACAGGGATGAACATTCCTGGGAGCTCAGTGCCTGCTGCTGCAGGGGCTCAGCAGGGCTGGGATGCCCACTCTGAGCTGGAGAGCACCTCCTGCCAGCACTCCTGTCACAGGGATGGGCAGGAGAAAGGAAGCACAGTGAAGGAACCTGGGTTTCCAGCAGGGGTGACTCCTGCAGGGACATCAGGTGCTGGTTAATTAAAATTTAATCACCTCTACTTAATCACCTGGCAGGAAAAAAAGAATTACCAGCCTTGCAATTTAGAAACACAGATTCCTACAGGTTGGAAAAGCCCTCTAAGACCACCCAGGCCAACTGTCCCCCAGCACTGCCAAAGCCACAAGCTAATTCTTCTTCTTCACCTTCTGCTTCATAAGTTTAGGTAACATTGTGTAACTAAATAAAAAAGTCCACATTGAGAGACACAAGAAGTTAGTTATTGAGTTAAAAGTAAAAATAATTTAGGGGTCATTGCTAAACTAAACAGTTTATCCTTAAAAGGTCTTGTAGAGAGAGAGCTATGACTCCATTTTTAATTTGTTAAAGTACTGACCTGAGGCTGTGGTGAAGGCTTCCAAAATGGAATGATAGAACTGGGATTGTGGTGTGGAGTTTGAACAGAAGTGTGTGATATCACAGGGTGGGAAACTTAGAGTTGAAGGTTTTAGAATATAGTAATATATATACAACAAGATAGAAGTTTTAAAGCAGAAGCTAATCCTTCTTCTTCACCTTCTGCTTCATAAGTTTAGGTAACGTTGTGTAATTAAATAAAAAAGTCCACATTGAGAGACACAAGAAGTTAGTTATTGAGTTAAAAGTAAAAATAATTTAAACTAAAGAGTTTATCCTTAAAAGGTCTTGTAGAGAGAGAGATATGACTCCATTTTTAATTTGTTAAAGTACTGTAGAACTTAGGGTTTGTGGGACTGTAACATGGGTAAGAACTAATAAACATCTGAGTCCAAACAGGAAATACCATCTCACACTTTTAATCTTAACAAAAACAAAAAAAGAAACAAAGAATCCACACTGACCCATGTCCCCAGGTCCACATGGATTTAAAATCCCTCCAGGCACGGAGACCCCTGGGCAGCTGTGCCAGGGCTGGACAAACCTTTCCATGAAGAAATTTTCCCCAATACCCAACCCAAACCTTCCCCTGGTGCATCCTGAGGCTGCTCCTTTCATCCTGTTCCCTGGGGGATTTGGGACAACACCACTGCTTGTGTGAAAAGCCATTAAAGAACCTCCAGAACAGCCCCAGATTTTTAGGGAGCAGCCATTCCTTGGTGCTTTCAGCAGTCCCAGCCTGGTGCTTGCAGGCTGTGGAGAGGGAGGGGTGCAGGGTGGACAGGGCAGCACAGGGAGCTCCCACACTGCTCCTCTGGACCTGGACATTGTCCAGAGGCTTGTGGAGATGCTGGATGGCTCTGAGATGGAGCTGGACCTGCTGGCTTTGGCCTCAAACACTGCTGCTGTCAGAGTGGGGAGTGTAGGAATGTGCTCCCTGCTGAGGGAGTGACAAAATTATCCTTAAAAAGGAAAAAAGCCCAGAAGTTTCTCTCCTCAATTAGGCAAAGACACCTCATAGGACCTTGGGGACTTCACCTCAAACTTAGGGATAGCCAATGGGACAGAAGCCAAAAAGTCCTGCCAAAGCAATTCACTAGAAAAATAAGAGAACAAAGGAAATAATTGCTTTTGTGAGGTGCTTTACCAGGAGCAAGAGCCTCTTGCCCTGGCTTGCTTTTTCTCTGTAAAGAGCTTTGTTATTTTGCCTTAAAACTTTTTATTTTATTTTTATTTATTAAAACTTTTCTGTCTCCAACACTGCCACAGAAGCCATCCTGCTGATTTTATGCCATCTGAGGTGGCTGAGCTGTCTCAGGTGTGATATAGATCTCCAAGAGCTTTGAGACCTGGCTGGAGGAGATCCCTGTATCAGGGGAGTTCATTCAGTGCCAGTTCCTGACTCCTGAGTGCACTGAACAGCTCTGCTGGGGCGAATCACACAATTCCAGGATGGTTGGGGTTGGAAGGGATCTTTAAAAGCCATCCAGTGCCACCCCTGCCATGGCAGGGACACCTCCCACCATCCCAGGCTGCTCCAAGCCCTGTCCAGCCTGGCCTTGGGCACTGCCAGGGATCCAGGGGCAGCCACAGCTTCTCTGGGAATTCTATTCCAGGGCTCCCCACCCTCCCAGTTGTCACAGTCACATTTTCTGAGAAATCCCTTCACCCAGGATTTTTCTCCTGGGAAGCTGAGAAGCCTCAGAGAAAAAGGAAAACAATATTATCTGATTTGCTTCTCCTGTGTTGTGCTGCTTTGGAATGTGTTTGGACATTGTTTACCCACAGGTGATTGTTTCAGTGGTTTCATGTGAGTTGTTTTGACTCATTCCAATCAGGGCCAAGCTGTGTCAGGGCTCTGGAGAGAGTCACAAGTTTTCATTATTATCTTTTTAGCCTTCTGTAAGTATCCTTTCTGTATTCTTTAGTATAGTTTAGTTTAGAATTCTTTACTATAATATAGATCATAAAATAATAAATTAGCCTTCTGAGAACATAAAGTCAAATTCATCATTCCTCCTTTGTCCAGGCACCCCACAAATACAATACCCAGCCAGGAATTCCCAATTCCCAGTCTCCCATCCATCCCTGCCCTCTGGCAGTGAAGCCATTCCCTGTGTCCTGTCCCTCCATCCCTTGTCCCCAGTCCCTCTCCAGCTCTCCTGGAGCCCCTTCAGGCCCTGCAAGGATAAAGCAGAGCCAACAGCTGGTCCTGGAGATCCCACTCCCACACTGACCCTCCTGAAAGAGGGCAAGCCCCTGGATTTCCTTTCTCAGTCCCCCAGGACAGGCTCCAGAAGGAGCAAAGCAGCTTTTTGGCTTTGTGTGACCCCTCCTGCTCAGGGAGAGGGCTCAGGACGTGTCTGCTCCTGGAAGGGCTTTTACCTGTCTGGATTTTGGGTCTCCCAGCTGCAGACCATGGGATAAAACCAACCTGTGGGGTGCAAGGCTGCTGCTAGAGCTCATCCTGGCTGCACCAACCAAGGCAGAGGCAGGTTTTGCATTCCCTGCCTGCTGGGAAGGGGATCCCAAGTGGAACGCCTGGAAAAGCCACGTCGGCCCCTCTGTGGGGAAATGCACGTGCCACTGGGAAGGCAGCAAAGATGGGATTGCTAAAACAATCTTCTTATCTTCTTTGCAGCTTAAATCTCTGTCTGCTTTGCCCAGGATAATGAATTTGTGAAGCTCTCCCTGCTGGAGCTGGTGCTTTCCAAGGATTTCCAGCAGAATTGCCATCTGCTGCCTCCAGCCAGGCTCCAGCTCCAGGAAACAGCATTTGCTGGGTGAAGAGATAATAAAATCTTTCTTCTTTTTCTATTAAGGTGGTCAAAGACCAGAAAAAAACCAGGCATCTGCAGCAGAGACACTCCAAACTCCCAGGGAAGCCTTTTCCAGGTGAATCCAAAGCTGCAGCTCTGTCCCAGCCCTTCTCTAAGTCTGATCCCTTCAGGGATCCAGCATCACCCATGTGGAGATCCAGGGCATAAAACAGCATTTTAATTTCACCATCTCTACAGCACAAAAGCCAAAAGTAGAAATCCACGTTGCCTTCACCAGCACCAAAGTGCTTTTAAGGCAAAAAGAAGGATCTTTGGTTGGGATTTAGTGGGGCTTCGTTGGCTTTAAAGGAGAAATGGGATGCACACAGGGCAGAAAGATTCCATCAGTCACTTTGATCAGTAAAATTAAAGGTCTTGGAAATAAGACATGAACGTCTCTCACACATTTGAAGGCCTGGTCTAAACCCAGTGGGGTCAGCAAAGCCAAAATATTTTCCATGTGGCATTAAGCCACTTGAATCCTGTGATTCTCAAGCCACAGAATCCTGGGATTCTCCTCATGCAGGAGGGATTTCTACTCCCTGGGACCCCAGAAATGCAGAGTTTGCTGATGGAGAGAGCTGGAAGGGAAATCTTGAGGTTCCTCAAGCTTTGGACTTGTGCCAGAGCCTGTGCTGGGCTGAGGGAGCCAGCAAGGACTCCCAGGAAAACCTGGCACATCCATATGGGTTTTGAACACATCCAGGGTGGTGATCCCACTGCTGGCCTGGACAACCCTTTCCATGAAGAAATTTTCCCTCATGTCCAATCTAAATCCCCCCTGAAGCAGCTTGAGGCAAGAGACTGACCCCAGCCTGGCTCTCCATGGCTCACATTTTGAGGGGATTTGGGAAGCTCTCCACATTTTTTACCAAATACCATTTCCCCCTGCTCTATAAGTGCTAAATAAGGCAACAGCCAGAATCTGGCTGCTAATTCCAGCCTATAAAAAGGGGTTTTTGTGCACTCACAACACTTCACCACGACCTTAAAATAGGATAGTTCTTTCAAGAGCTTTTCTTCCCTGAGATGACATTAACTATAATTTACATTTTAATTTTAATACAGCTCCTAGAAGGCAATAACATCTCCACTCAGCTCTACTTAAGTGTCCTCCTCCTTTTTTAAGTGCTTGGGTGGATAACAGATTTCAAGGCACTCAACCTTCCCAGTGCCTGGGATGAGTCCTGCTGGGAATGTCACATGGAGGACACAGGTGGAATGTCACATGGACCCTCCTCAGCCTGGGTCACCTGCAGGGCCACGGGGGTGGAAGGAGGTGCCCTGTGCTCCACCACGGAGCTGCACACCCAGATGGAGAAATCCCAGATGGAAAAATCACCGGGACAGACCCTGGCAAGGTTCGGAGTGTGCAGAATCCCACAGCCAGAGCTTTTTCCAGGTGGGTGTTTCCACGGTGACAATCCTGACTGAAGGCCTGAAGAAGGAGCAGCATTTCACCTCTGGAGAGCCAGTGCCATGGACAGAAAGCCTTGGGGAGTGTTTTCCGTCATCTGCTCTCCTGGGAACGTGGCAAATGCTGTCTGCCCGAGCAGCAGCCTGGAGAAATCACGGAGCAAAGGCATCCCCATGGCCTGAAGGCTGGAAAAAGACTGGAATAGTCCACAATGCTGCTGAGAGCTCCAGGAGGAGCACCCAGAGCTCATCCTGTGTGTGTGGTGGGCTGAGGAGAGATTTCTTCCTGGGACAACGCTCCAGGGAAGCCTCTGCGTGCCCTGCACAACCTGCCCGTGCTGGAGCACATCATCCCTCAGGAAAGACCCCACTGCTCCTCAGAAAACCAGGCCCAGCAGTGGGAAGGACACACAGGGAGGTCTGTCCTGCAGGAGGAGCTGCCCTGGCCCCAGTGCTCCTCCAGGTGTTGGTTTTCAAAGCCCAGCTCCTCAGCCTTGAGCCCAGCCACAGCGGGAGGCTGCAGAAGGGCAGGGAGGTGTCCCTCCAAGCTGGTGTCCTCACAAGCCTCTCCCTGCTCTGCAGCAATTAGTGCTGGCCCAGAGTCAGGCCTGGATGTGTGCCTGCCCCCATGGAATTGTGTCAGGGCAAAGCAGGGCGCTCCCAAAGCCAAACCGACCCCAAATCCAGGCGCCAGCCACACAGGGATGGGAACTGGGGCTGGGAACGTGTCCTGAGAGGTGCCTGTGGCCCTGTGCCAGGGCTTGGCTCTGTCCCCCTGTGCCTCTCCTCCTCCCTGCATCCCACGGTGCCAGGATGGCCAAAATCCCACTGGGCAGGAGCAGCAGCCCAGGGAGGCTCCAGGACAGGAGCCAGGACTGCGGCTCCGTGCTGGCTGCTGGAGCCACCAGCTGGGACCTGAAAGGGCTCCCTGGCACTGCCAGGGCTCACTGGACACTCATCTCCGAGGGGGAAATGCTCCAGGATGGGGCAGTGACAAGTGGACACCCAGGAGAGGCCTCCTGTGGGAAAGGGTGAAGGTCCCAGCAGTGCCAAAGTGTCCTGTGCTGATGTGAGCATGGGCCAGGACAAACCCAGAGCCCTGCAGGGCTCACCCTGGCCCCAGCAGTGCCAAAGTGTCCTGTGCTG